TCACTGACGAACCAAAGCTACTGCAATAAGAGTACGAATAGTAGTCATTTTTGCAACATAAGCAAATGTCTCCTCATAATCCATACCATACCGTTGAGAGTATCCCTTTGTAACCAACCTAGCTTTGTATCGCTCAATTGACCCATCAGAATTAGTCTTGATCTTATATACCCAACGACAACCAACAACACTCTTACCAGAAGGTAAAGTAACCAAATTCCAAGTACCAGTCTTATGCAAAGCAGAAAGTTCATCATTCATAGCTTGCTGTCAAAGAGGATCAAGAATTGCCTCTTTATAGGAAGAGGGCTCAGAGAGACAATGAATAGAAGCTAAAAAGGTAGAAAATGATAAAGAATAACAAGAATAAGCAAAATCTGGTAACTTTGTAGACTTACGAATGCGTATGGATTGACGTAGAGACGGATCCACAATCTCAGATGGAGCTTGAGGGACCGTAGGAGAAGAGGACGCTTCAGGCGTGCCGGAGAGTAAAGTGTCAGTACCTGCGGAATGATTAGTACAAATTGGTTGTAAAGACAACGGGGTAGGAACATGAGAATGACCATTGGAAGTAGTAGGCTCCTGAGAAGACAAATTATCAGGATTGTCAGAAAAATGATCTATACGAATAAGATCAGATCTAGTCAGACTATAAGTAGTGGATGGAATAGAAAAGAAAGGCATATGCTCGAGAAAAACAACATGACGAGACACGTAAAGTTTCTGAGTTATTGGATCAAAAAAATGATACCCCTTTTTACCTTCACCATAACCAAAAAAGACACAAATAGCAGATCGAGATGACAACTTGCTGCGTTCTACATGAGGACGAAGAACGAAACAAGTACAACCAAAAACTCTAAAGAGAGAATAATCGGGGTATACTCATACAACTTTTCGAAAGGAGAAAACCCTAAAATATGAGAAGATGGACTTGTATTAATCAAATCTACAGCAGTAAGAACAGTTTCACCCCAAAACACACTAGGGACAGATGCAGACAACAAGAGAGAGAGCAGTTTCAACAACGTGCGTATGTTTTCTTTCAGCAACACCATTTTGCTCAGGAGTATCTGTACACGAAGTTTAGTGAATAGTTCCATCTAAAGTAAGAAGCTCACAAAATTTATTAGAAGTGTATTCCCCACCCAAATCACACATAAAACATTTGATAACAGCAGAATGTTGAGTTTTAACAAGAGCACGAAAGGCTAAGTATATCTCAAAAAATTCAAAACGATGTTTCATTAAATAAATCCAGCAATAACGAGTGTGATCATCAATAAAGGAAACATAATATCGAGATCCTCCTTTTATGGCAATAGGAGAAGGCTCCCATATATCAGAATGAATCAAATCAAATGGAGAAGAAGAAATAGAAATACTTCGATTAAAAGGTAAAGCTGAAAATTTTGTCAGTTTGCATCCACTACAATCAGAAATATCACAAGGGTGTAAATTTCCTAAAGCCCCTGTAGAAGCTAAAAATCTCAAACGAGACGACGAAACATGACCTAGACGAGAATGCCATAAATAAAAATTAGAAGAAGAAGGACTCAAACGAAAGAAGACAAATCAACACTAGTAGCGGCAACAGCAATTGACACTTTTAGCTCATCCAAAATATATAGTCCACTCTTCCTACGACCTGTCCCAATTAGTTTCTGAGACTGCAGATCCTGCACATAACAAGAAGAAGAGAAAAATGTGACTAAATTACCGGAATCACATAACTGACCAACAGAAGCAAGATTTAATGTGAGTTTCGGAATATGATAAATATTAGGGAGGGACAAGTGATGTGTGACAACAGAACCAACACTTGCTAATGGCATAGGAGTGCCATCAGCAGTCATGACAGCAATAGAGGACGAAGGGGACACAGAAGCAAAAGACGAAAAATCTGGAGACATATGATGTGAAGCACCAAAATCCAAGACCCATACAGAATGTGACATACCTGAAGAACTATGAGGCAACTGACTTATGGAAGAAGCAGACATAGCTTGAGGCTGTAAGGAGAGAAACTTCTGAAATTGCTCAGCCAAAGTACTAGGATCAGTAAAATGACCTGATGAAGCTACTGCTGCAGTATTAGATTGTGGTGGTCTATGAGCATTAGATCGTGATTGGTTGCCAGGCTTCCAAGCTTGAGATTGCTGCTGTAATTGATTCGACTGTCTCAACTTAGGACACTGAGCCTTCCAATGACCTTTATGCTTACAGAAACTGCACTCGTCAAAGGCAACCCTTGTGTAAGGCTTATTCTGATTATTAGAGGATGGCTTAGAAGACACTGCTAATACAGAAGGATTAGAAGCAGAAAGAATTCCATTTTCAGCATAAGACTTATGACGTATTTCTTTAGCCAATCACTCACTGACAACTAAATCAACAGAAGGAAGTGAAGAACGATGCAAAATTGAACCTCCGAGTCCTTCAAAATCACTACGAAGTGCCGTTAAAAATTGTACCAACCGTTGCTGCTCTCTACGAGTAATATAGGCAGCACATGCCTTTAATTCTGTCGTTTCTGTAAGGGCCAATTGATCCCAAAGATCTGTCATAGCAGAATAAAACTCCTGAATACTTATATTATTTTGATGAAGAGCTCGTATATCATTCTCCAATTGATACTGCTTTGCAAAATTTGACTGAGTGAATAATCTTTGCAGATGATCCCAAACCTCCTTTGCCGTCTCATACTTCACCAACTCTCTACCTATGGAATGCTCCACAGAGTTGTTAATCCAAGTAATAATTTTTGAATTGTTTGATTCCCACGTATCTATTAAAGCAGCATAACCCTCATTGGTATTCTCAGGTTTCACAGAAGTTCCACTAATGAATCCTCACATCTTTTACCCTTAAGAAAATTTTTCACACGTAACTCCAATACGAATAATTCTTTCCATCCAACCTCACACTCACAGACTGAAGCGAATCGTCTCTTTCAATAGCCATAATAAAAAAATAACAGATTGCAGAAATACCGGATTGCAAATTTAACAGATTTGTCCCATGAAATCTAACTCTGATACCATGTTAAACAACCCAAAGAAAAAAAAGAAAAAAAAAGGAGGAGACTAGGGTTTCATTGATACTATGTAATTAATTGAATGCTAAAAAGATGGTTTAACGTAAATACAAAGAGAATATATTTAGGCTAAACAAAGGAAACTAAAAAAGACTATTCTACCCTTAATAAATAATAAATAATCATATATTTCTTAACATATTTTAGACGCCAACAGAGGCATGAGGTCATCGAAGTGATACAGTTTGAGGCGTCTTCATGTTTCGAGGCGTTGCTTTCGAAGTGTGAGATGACCAAAGCACCTCTTCGCCATGAGTTTCACAAATGGATCTTTTGGTCAAAATTGTCTCTGTGTCTTTAAGAATGATTGATGTGATATCTCTATCATATGTTAATTCAAAATGAGAAGAATTAATTGTCCGCCCATCTAGGAAGCGACTGATGAACTCCTACAAGCTCGCACCGTGGGATAATTAAACGTCTCGCATCTAGTGGTGCTTTCACCTCTAAATACCAAGAACTTGACCAAGAATAAGAGATGTATGACATACGTGTTATTCCACAACCAAGATATTATATTTTCTCCTTCCAAGAGTTTGTGCATTTCGGCATCGTCACCACCATCGTCAACTAACTTGATCGTCGGAGTGTATGTGGCCATCATCTCTACCGCTGGTACTGGCCATATACGTCTGATCGTTTGTTGTTGCACGCAAGAAAGAACAGGTGGAGGGTCCAATTCGCATGGTCAACAGATTTGATTTTTGGTTTTCATTCCGGTGGTCGACGGTTAGCAGGGCTAGTAATTTTCCAGTTTCGATTTATTTGGGGTGGAATGGTGAGTAGGGTAGTATGGTGGAAGAAGATAATGAGTTTTATTTTCTTTCATTTTGAGTTTTTTTTTTAATTAAATTATTTAATGCGAAGGTATTTAAAACTTTCGATAAAACTAAGGTCTTATTAGTGTTCACAATTCAAAGTTTACACGTCTACCACACGGAAATATGAATTATTTTATAATCAATTTATTATTTATCACGAGTCAAGAAAAGACCGACAAGTTTGCCACTTGTGTAATTAGAAACCGACACTTTGACTAATGATGACGCAAACACATACTACAGGAAACATAATTAATAACGTCATTAAATCCTCAATGATTTGAAGTAATCAATAAAGTCGAAGAAAGTCAGTCGGTGGAAGTAGTTAATTAACTAATCACGTCAAACACGACCTTTAAGACACGAAATCTAGATCATTGTTTTAACAAAAATGAAATATTTTACAGTTGTCCTCTTTTTGCCTTTTCCTTGTTCTTCTTTTTATTTTTTATTTTTTTTAATGCGTTAAGACAACTTTTATCTTTTTTGTACAATTACTTTTTGTCACGTTTACCAATAAAAATATTAAAACGAAATAAAATTTAATATTGAACAATCAAGTTCAAGCGTATTGAAGCATCAACCAAACTTGCAAGTAGGAAGAAGTCTAATTAAAATTTCCCTTTTATTCTTGATGCCATAATACTGGCCCTTATTATGGTCAACATTAATTGTTTTAGTTAATAAAGTTTATTTAATGAAATTAATTCTCATCCAATGATGAAAGTGATAAACATTAAACATAATTGCGAAGATAACAGATGATAAGATAAACTTTTAATGAGAAATTACTAAAATTAATTTGACAAATTATTTAACTAACATTGAGATTCTGAGAATCAAGATTAAAAAAGATTAAATAGTCTAAAATAATTTTTGTTTTCATATTTTTCTTCTCTAATATAATCGACTTTACCGGACAAAATAATTTAACATTCTAACTAAAAAGTGTACTGCAGTAACTATCATTCGCATAAAAGAAAAGTATAGAACCACAGCTATATCTCATGATTACAAAAGTAAATTGATTCAAGATGAAAACAAACAAAACATTTATTTATGTCATAAAAAAATCACACCTTCAACAAAACCCCCCACCCACCACTCTACACAACAGACCAGAAAGGAAGGAAAAAACACTATTGTTGAATGCCAAGCGAGATCAGCTCCACGGCGACATTGGAAATCAGCATAGTTGGATCGCCTAGAAGAACAGATAATAGAATTTTGATAAACGATTTGATCTTCGTGAGGAAGGTGTTTCTACCCCCTCTGTTTCTATTATATCTAACCAATTCTCTTAAATCCATATTCTCCAACGCCAAGTTCCCATGCCTCATGGAAGCCTCTTGTACCATTTCAGTTATACAATACACATGAAAATGATACTTTTTGCACTGGGAAACATAAGACCATCCCAGAACATTTTTCTCGTCACGAGAAATCTTCTTCTTCCCGCACTTTCCACACCTTGACGAAACCTTGGTCTCGAGATCAAATATCGTACCATCAATCACTAGTTTCTTTTCAAGTTTTCGACAACACGGGTGTAAATCCAAGTTGTCTTCTTCACAGTGGTAGTTAAAACCGCATATGTCCTTTCCACATGCATCGCAGCACTTTGAAAACACTCTGCGATCCTTTTTACCCAATCTGGTGAATGGCTTATCGAGAAATGTGAAGATGGAGCCACCAAAATTCTCGTGGGAAACTTCAGATGTGGGGTGCCTACACTCCTTGTGCAGTTCTTGACCACAGAGATTGCACACGTACCTTTCTCCGGACCCTTTCATCTTGCAGCCGTCGCAGCTGAACAACTTCGCATATGTTTTCAACTCATAGTGCTTATAGCAATCATGGATTTGTGATCCGATGGTCAACATATTGTCTCCTGAAAATTTTTGGGACATTAATTAATGAACTAAATACACAGTTGGTATAATATCAGAAACTCGACTAGACTGAACAATACGAATAGAAGAAAGGTTCAAATATAGTACCTGATTTGCTCGTGACGATGAATGCTATTTCTTCAGCCAAATTTAAACAAAAGATTTGTAAAGAAACAGGGTCTATGCTCAAGCATTTGTTGGGAAGAAACTTGTGTAGTTGTTTAAAGTGCATTTTTATGAAGCAGAAGGGTTTATTTATAGTTTGGTTTTGACGCGTAAACAGCGTTTTGAATTTAAGATTTTTTATTTTTTATTTTAGTGACTTGCGTGTCAAGTCTCTCTTGAAGATTAATCCTCACCTTCTTAATTAAGCAATAGTTTCCACGCATTTTGAAATTATCCTCTGTTATCCAGCTGTCAACTGACGCCTAATTTATATACCATTCCATGCTCTAATTACATTGATGGCACTAAAATTTTAAATAATTATCTTATTAATTATTAACTTTCATGTTTACGGTATTATGCAGTTGAGTTTCTTAATGTTACATTGATCATCATTTGCTTATATATATTAGCATTAAATTTTAATGTGGAGTCGTTAAATGTACAACATTATTTATACATCAAATAAGCACAAATCGTTGTTAGAAAACCCAAGGTTTATCGTACGGTTTAAGCTGAAAATCTAACTAAAATTAAAGCTGTATTACATTTTCTTGTTTGAACATTTTTAATCTTCAATTCTTAACTACTCAATTAGTGTTGACTCGACATAGTAAATAACATCATCTTGTGTTGGTACTCGTTGTGACATACAATTTAATGTTAATAATTAAAGGAGTGACATCAATGTCAATATTATGAGCATAAGTGACACAAAAAATAAAAAATAAAAAAAATTATGACCATTGATGTAATTACTCGAAACTTCAGTGATAATTGACGAAATTAACCCATAATCCCACACATACATGATAATGTAAAACTCAATTTTTTCTAGAAGATTCAAGGGATATGATGACTAATTTTGCCAACGGGCTTATCATAATTTCTATGAGTTGGTTGGTCTTCTTCAGGAAATTAAATTATAAGAATTTCGATTTGAATGAAAATCACAAGTAACATAGAGATTTGCATCTTATCTTTTTTGGTCGGTTTTATCTGCATCTTCAGTGGGGCCCACGTGAATATGCTGGAAAGGGTTTATTTTTAATTAGATTTTAACGCGTAAACAGCGTTTTGAGCTTAAGATTATTTATTTATTTATTTATTTTTTTAGTTTAGTGACTTTCCTGTCAAGTCTATCTTGAAGATTAAGATCCTATTTGGGAGTGATTTTGAGAATTAATTTTTTGATCGTTATGAGAAAAGTGGGGTCCATCTATGAGAGAAAAAGTTAAATATGACGATTGAAATAGTGAAATGACAGTCAAAAAATCAATTTTTTGAATGAAAAAATTGCTCCCAAACAGGCCCTAATCCTCACCTTCTTAATTAAGCAATAGTTTCCACGCATTTTGAAATTATCCTCTATTGTTATTCAAAGGTCAAATGACGCCTAATTTATATACAATTCCATACTTTAATTACATCGATGGTCACAAAAATTTTAAATAATTATTGAACTTTCATTTTACGGTAATATTCAATTAAGTTTCTTAATTTTGCATTGATAATCATTTGTTTATATATATTCACATTATGTCGTTAAATGTACGACATTATTTATTACATCAAGTAAGCACAAATTGTTGTTAAAAAAATCCAAGATTTACCGTACGATGTAAGCTAAAAATCTAATTAAAATTAAAGCTAACATTTTCTTGTTGGAACATTTTTACAGGGGTGTCCTCAATTCAGAGTTGAATAGATTTCTTAATATTTATAAATTTTTATGGATTGTATGGTATTTATAGAATTTAATAGATTTCATAAGATTTGAATGAATTTTTATTTTGTAGATTTTAATAGATTTTCATGGATTTTATAGATTTTAGTAGATTTGGCTAAAATTTCTACAGTTCTTTTTTGATATACTCAGGATTCAAGAAAAATGGGGAGTCCATATGCTCTTTTCAAGATTGTCATGACTTTACGTTTAGTTTATAAATATTATGTTATGGATCATTACAAAATGGTTTTACCCACATATTCAACAGAATGCGAGAGAGGGAGAAGAAAAAAATTAGTAGTATCTTTTCAATAAGAAAATATCAGAATTGTGGGAAATTAGAGGAAGAAGAAGAAAAACTGTTCACATTGGGGAGGGGGTGGGGGTGGAGAAATCTATAGAGAGGTGAGAAAAGTTGTGAAATTTTTCGATTTGAGATAAAATTGTTATAGATTTTTGGTAATTATATTTATGGCTTGAAATCTTTCAAAATCTATCTAATTAATGAAATCCTTTTAAATTATTTAGTTATCGAGAATATCTAAATTTCTAAAGTACCTATTAAATTCTATATTGAGAACACCTAAATTTATAAATATTTCTAAAAATTCAGATTGAGGACATCTACATTTTAATGAATTGAATTTTAATCTAAATTGAGGACACCTCATTTTATATGAAGTTTTAAAATTCATCAAATTCTATATTGAGGACATCCCCTTAATCTTCAATTCTTAACAACTCAATTAGTGTTGAGTGACACCGTTAGGACTCGATGCTGCGTACAATTTAACATTAGTAATTAAAGGAATAACATCAATGTAAATATTATGAACTTAAGTGACTATAATAATAATAATAATAATAATAATAATAATAATTTATGACCATTTATGTAATTACTCGGAACTTCTGTGATAATTGACGAAATTAGCCCACAATCCCACACATACATTATAATGTAAAACTCAATTTTTCTAGAAGATTCAAGGGATATGGTGACTAATTTTGCCAATAGGTTTTATTTTTATTTATATTTTTTTTATGAAATGTAATAAATTTATTTATTTTCACAATAATTTCCAAGAAATTCATGGTTGGTCTTTGTGTTGGATAAAGTGAATACAAACGTGTCCAAACTAAACATAATTTCCAAGAAAGTAAGTTACATTGCACCATAATTTCCATGAATTGGTTGGTCATCTTCTGGAAATTATATTATAAGATTTTCGATTTGAATGAAAATCACAAGTAACAGAGAGATTTCTTGCTTATTTGCTTCTTATCCTTTTCTAGAAAATTTTTGGTCGGTTTCTTCTGCATCTTCAGTGGGGCCCACGTGAATATGCAGGAAAGTGTCTTATGAGTTATGATTCTTGATTGGCCTTTTTGGTGGATAAGATCGTGAAATGGGAGAAACATGCATTAAAATCTCTTTGGTCTTTGTCAATGAAATGAAATCTATTTTTTAATAAAATAAGAAAAAATTGCAGTCGAGGTACCAAATCTTTCATTTATTAACAGACTTTATCCAAATCTTTAGTTTGTGCCATCCACGATACCAAATATTTCAAAAACTCGCAGTGAAAGTCCAAATGGATGGAAACTGCTAATTTGACCGTTAGTTGACCAAAAATTTAACATTGATCATTAGTTTGACTAATTTTAAAAGGATAAAATGGTAATTTTACATTTTTCAACAAAAAAAATAATTACAATATACTAATAATTAAATCAAAATACAAAAAACACTATTCATCTTCTTCTCCATTCAGCCCCTACCCACGCACTCCACAAAACCAAATCCCACCAAAATCGACGCCCACCAAAACAAGTATCAACAGCATCTTCTCCACTCCACCCACCTGCCCACTCCCCAGCCCCATCCGAAAATTAGACCCACGACAACACAGCTCCCTCACTCGCCGATCGTCGCCACCTCCAACTACAAGATGCCGGCCACCACCCAATGCTACCACTTCTCCCTTTTTTCACCACCACTAATGTCACTTTCATTGATATCTTGACCACGAGAATCCATTACCCAGGTTCTCAAGAAAAATTCAAAACCATCATTCAAGAAATTGAACCCAAATCCTGCACTTCTCGATGCTGAAATCACCTTCACTCCTTGAAGACCGCTTTGTTATTTCAAATCTGGTGTGCATAATAGGTTGGAAGCACATTCATCTACCCATGGTGTCGGCTGTAGGATGGGGGTGGAGTCTCTAAATACTTACTTAATAGAGCCTCTCCAGGTCGAATCTGGTTGTGAAGAATTGAAAAATGTCGATGAAGTTTGAAACAAAGATTTTAGAGTAAAGAGCAGTAAGTGGCCATGGATTTAGCAAGTTTTCACAACGGTGTGATGCAACTCTGGGATTATCGAATGGGCACTTAATTGATTGCTTTGACGTTGGTGGTTGCTGCTTGTGTTGATGGTTTGGTAGTGTATGGTGGTTGAAAGTGGTCGGAGCTAGTGGATTGTGTGGGTGGGCTTGGTGGCTTCGGTGCTGAAGGTGGTTAAAATGAGAGGAGGGGTGTAGGGTAGGGTAGGGGTGAAAGAGATGAAGATGCAAATTTCTTTTTGTTTTTGTTTTTAGCTTAATTTTATTTTTAAAAGGTTAAATATGTGATTGACGTAAATGCCCTTACCAAATTTGGTCACAATCAAAATTTTTGGTCAACTAACGGTTAATTGGATGGTTTCCATCCATTTGAATCCCCTGTGCTTATTTTTAAAAGGTTTGAGATTGTGGATGGTATAAAATGAAGATTTGTGACCGCTGCTGCAATTTTTCCATAAAATAATCACAAACGTAAAATATTTATTAATAATGAAAAACACAAAACAAATTGTAAAGGAAGGATCATTGAACTTGTTAGGATTTCGACTTAGCTTCGGTCTGCTTTAGTTAAATTTTTTTAACAAA